TTGTTGTGGGTTTTTTGGGCAAAATAGTGTTCTGGTTTTAACCTATAAAGCCCTAAATGGCTTGGTTCCAAGCTATCTCCAGTACCGTGTCTCCCTTGATGAGCCTGTTCACGGTGCTAAGAAAATCAGGAGAGTAATGGTTGTTGTGGGTTTTTTGGGCTCTTTGGCCGTTTTCTGAAGGTTGTTCTTCCTAACGTTTCGCCAGTCTCTGTGGCTGGCCTCATCAGAGGACAGCTGAAATCTGAGGGTGTCCCAGAGATGCGATTCTAGCACACTTATGTGCCGGAGTAATCATACCTGCCCCCTAAAGCCCTTGCTTTAGTACCGATGACCAATCACAAAGCAAAGCCCGCTCCTTTGCAAACTACAGGAGGTGTGGAAATCATCTACTCTCAGGACCAGATGGGACATAACCCTATTTCTGCCAATGAGTCTTCTGTAAGAGATAAGCTGAAATCCTGTTGCTTAGCATCGTAAGTGGCCACTGGAGTAAGCGCATTGAATCAGCGTGCCTTTGGGGAGTCAGCTCCTCCAGACGTTCCATGGATTCAAGGGGCCCTGCTCTAGTTGTGTCTCACTAGACCAAGCCACAGGATTTCAGCCACAGTTTGGTGCTTAGAAACGGCATCCGTAGGAATTGCTTCTCCCTGCCTGAGTTACCTTCAGAGGAAACAGAAGATGGCGGCGAAGGTTTGCCGGCCCTCCTGCTGATCTACTCTCCTGGATGACCTCTGGGAGAAGAGAACCCTTCTCCCAGCCCCTGCCGTGAAAGTGGCCGTCAACTTCGTTCGGAGCTGGTGGGAGTAGACAGCTTGACAGCGCCGGTCCAGCTGTTGCAAAGGTGTCTTTGATCCGGTTGCCTGTGATGTGTTTGCAACCCTGGCGCTTTAGTGCTGGAACTGCCACAGAGACAGCGAGCGAGCATCCCTCTCCGAACGGTGTGTGGGATAAACAGAAAGAAAAACCTGCTGGGGGAAACGGCAGGAGACCAGGCTGCAAAGACCAGACGCCATCTCCAGCTGCTCCCGCTGTCTACAAAAACGGGCTGAGGTGGTGTATTAAAAAGAAGAAGAATTCGAAGAAGGAGGATACTCCCGAGGGAGACATCTCCAGCTGCTCCCGCTGTCTACAAAAATGGGCTGAGGTGGTGTATTAAAAAGAAGAGTTCGAAGAAGGAGGATACTCCCGAGGGAGAAGCGAAACCGGCATGTGTCAGTCTTTTGCTCGGACAGATGGGCAAGAAAGAGGTAGGTTCTGAAGCCCACCTCGAGTTTTCGGGGAGAAGATAAATATTGAGGATTGTGGTGGTTGTCTCTGAGGACCTGTGCCCTCCTCATGGAAGCCTGCGGCATCACAAATTTGGACGTTTGCATCCTTGGTTAGAAACAACAGGATGTAATATCGTGGCAAGCACAGAAGATAAAGCCAATGGTGGTTTGCTCAGCTATGGGCCGGCCCTACCGGGAGTGAGAAGGCACCGGCTGCCTCCCATGACAAATTTGGAGCGGCATGAAACGGCAGCACTTTATTAGTGGAGATGGTGATGTTCACTGTTACATCAGGAAGGATGTGCACATGAACCAGTTGGCAGATGGACGTCCCTGGATGAAAGACACTATTGGTTGATGCACCCTTGACTTGATGCGCCTTCTTACTCACACCAGTCGGTCCTTACTTTGTCCACAAACACACCCCACAATTGATTTGCCTCTGGCTTTTTGTTATTATTCGTACAGTTCTAGTTTTAATGGAATGTAATCTTGAAGATAATAAGTTTATGTCAAAATTCACTAGTCCCTATTATCCGCCATATTCTATTCAGGCTTTTTGGTGATTTCTAAGATTTCTCCCATTCTCTCTCTCGGTGTGTCTTTCTCTCTCATTATCTTGATATTCTCTTCCTTAGCATAACAAATTGAAACTGGACTAGGGCCATTGACTTGATGGGAACCTGGAGGGGGGGAGGGACTCCTCCCTGTGTTCCATTGATCCAACGGGCCGACTTTGTGTGACTCGCTATGCCAAGCCACAGGATCTGGGGAGGGAATGCCAACAGAGAAGACGTAACTTGGCACCACATGGCATTTCTGAAACATGATCTGCCAATCTCATCAATAACATGCAATTAAAAGTATTCCCATTTATAGGTGCTCTAGGGATAATTTAAAACACGCACAAACGGATCCTTTCCCCCACTTTTATCCATTCAGAAGACAGTTCCTGCTACCGGTGATAATAACCATCCGGTGAATAAAAATTATTCCCATTGCTCCCGAAATAATCATATTTGCCAGCTTTACTCAGTTTAAAACCAGAATCACAAGCCAGAGTTCCATATTTTCAGAGTTCAGTGTTCAAATCAATAATTTCCTAGGGTTTTGTTATTTTTTACATTTTTTCCCCAACTTGCATCTTCACTGATTGAGTGAATGAATGCTAAGAAAAACCGGAGATACCATCTCCGGATTCCTCTTAATCCTGAAGCGGGAAATGCATGAAGCATCAGCAGAACACCTGCCATGTGTAAGGAGGTTGACTGAAAAACACCAACTCTGAGTGACTCTCCGTTTCATTGCTCGCTTTCTGCTTGGATAATAAGACTGTGCCATCCGTAGGCAGTCCTGCAAATGAAGCAGAATCCTCTGGGCGTGAACTGCCAGAAACCAAGTCAAAAGAAAAATTAAAAATAAAGAAAACAAAAATGTTGTGGCACATTAAAGACTCTCTGCTCTATTTTAATGTGAGCTTTTGTGGACAAGTCCACTTCCTCAGGCATGTGATTACAGTATAACCTTTGGAAACCTAGCCTGAGGAAGTGGACTTCACCACAAAAGCTCACATTAAAATAGAGCACATAATCTTTAAGGTGCTACATTTTTGTCATCATCTTCTTCTTCTTTTTGTTTTGCCTTTGCCTGGAGAATTACGCAGCTCCTTCTCCTGAAACCATAAATCAAAGAGACCCATGAAACTCATATATGCTATTTCTATGGGTGCCGATGTGGCAGCATGCAACCTGAGCGACGTACTCCCATGTTTCCTTGCAAATGTGGCAAAGGATGCAGGGATGCACCTCATGAGTATTATGGGGTCCATCGCTCACACTGTGTGATATTCCCAACTGGGACAGCAGGCTAGCTTTGGTTGAGTTGGTCTAGAAACATCAGAAGTTGGAATTGTTATCTTGGAATCCTCTAGCCGGCCAACCCTTCTGATGGTTGTCGTCCAGCAAGACAAGGCTCACAAGCTCTGAGACACATGCGGGGCTGGTGGAAAGAACCATATGTATTAGATCACAGCGGCCAGTCAGGGTCAGTGTAACATTTCTTGCTTACAGGGCAATACTTTTCATGCTGTTCTGTGACGTGGTTCTAGAATGAGATCGCATTGATGTATCCCCAGTGTGATCTTACCTGCATTTCTAGGGTTTTCCAAGGTTCGGCGCACATGTACCCCATCCAGCAAGTTGTGCTGTCCATGCAGAGTACATCATGCACACGAGACACTGGGAGAGTGAAGAGAAGGGGAAATAACCCCTTGTCTAGGATTCCAGTACTAGACCCCTCAACTGGTTTAGAATGAAGACACGAGGTGAGTGGATCACATGACTATCCTATGAGAAGAAGAGCAGCTGCAACCTAACATAAACTTAAATATATTTAGGTTCCCTGGGTGAAAAGGTAAAGGTAAAGGTTCCCCTTGACAATTTTTGTCCAGTCGTGTCCGACTCTAGGGGGCGGCGCTCAGCCCGCTCTTCAAGCCATAGAGCCAGCGTTTGTCCGAAGACAATCTTTCCGTGGTCACATGGCCAGTGTGATTTAGACACGGAAAGCTGTTTACCTTCCCACCGAGATGGTACCTATTTATCTACTTGCATTTGCATGCTTTCGAACCGCTAGGTTGGCGGGAGCTGGGACAAGCAATGGGCGCTCACTCCGTTGCGTGGATTCAATCTTATGACTGCTTGGTCTTCTGACCCTGCAGCACAGGCTTCTGCGGTTTAGCCCACAGCGCCACCACGTCCCCTCCCTGGGTGAAATCCTGTTGCTATTTCCGACCAGGATAGGCTCTTGGAATCAATAAGAGTTGACCGACAAGGATTTGCCAGTCACTCATTAATGCGTGGCAATTTGCCACTGTGATTTAGGCTACTACACTTTGTGTTGTTATAATCCTCCTTAGGGTGCTGGGCAATGAGACTTAGTCTTAAGCCACGTTGGGTCTAGCGATTGGATTTAGCGCCTTGATTTTGTTGGGCTCAACTGTACCAAGAGTGATGCTGAGCGATGGCCATCATGTTGTGTTCTGGCTTTAACTCAAACCAATTCTTAGCAACCGCTAACATTCGTGGGACCTCTAACACATTTCATAGGACGTTTGGATGGTGGAAGGTGAGGAGAGGACGTGATCTGAGGCTGTGGACCCCTGGTATTTGCATGTATGAAATGTGACTCTTTTTTTCCACACCTACAGTATGGAACTCCCTAATCTTGAAGACTAGATATGTTTGAGATTAGATCTTTAGATTTCTGCTTTAGAGTCTCTTTTCTGGCCAAGCAGATTAAGGTGACCAGATTTCTGTGGTCAACGGATACCATCTCTTAAAAATCATTTTTGGGAGAGTGAGCCAGCAAAACAGGTCTGCCTTGTATAGAAGTCTCTGGAAGGGGCAGCCCAACCCGAAGACACACACACACCAATGACGCGGGAGATTTGGAGGTAAATATACAACTGCTCTCTTATACAGTACCAGATGTGGCAGGGTTTGTCCCTGGAGGTGCTCCACTCAATCTTTAAGTCCTTTGACCCGTGAATAATGGGCAGCTTCTCTTCCTTGAATCCAGAAACTCAGTCCTGCTCCTTCCAACATTCCTCGTGAAGCTTGGAACAAGCATATATTTTCAAAGCAAAACCCAAAGGCAATCCACGGTTCCAATTTCTCAGCAAACGGCCATGACGACAAGAACCTCCCCCACCCCACCCCCCCAGATAACCCTTAATCTTGTCATTTTTGCCATGTGGAACATGAAGATGGTTCTGTCCTAACGCTCAATCTCAAGACCAGATCGCTCAACCTGTAAAGAAAGTGGGTGTATTGACATGATGAAGCATTCCTGTTACTGACTTGGCATCCGCTTCCACACCATTGCTGGCAGGTTCTTCGAGACGGGGGGGGGGGCAGATTTCGTCCAGCAGGGCTGCCCGTAAGACGGCTTCATCACACCAAAGCTGGCAACTTTTGTTGATTTGCCAATAAAAAAAAAGGGAAAAAAAGAACGAAGCAAATTGAGTCGGTCCCAACTGTGGCCTTAGCGTGGGCCCCCAGTGGACCACAGGGTTCCTTGAAGGGGCTGATCTGTAGTTCCTCCCATGGATGAGCACAAGGTTGCTCACTGGGAAGATGATGAGTTTCCCTTCCACTTTTCTCTTCTCTGTATAAAGGGGATGAGGAAGGAGATGGAGGCTGGTGCGACCGTTGACCCCTGTGTTCCACATATTGAAAACGACAACAAAGAGCAGTTCAATCACACGGCTGCTGAGCGTGGGCGCCTTCCAACTCACATGGACACTGGGAGGAACGTACTGGTGGATGCCAAACACCACACGACCAACCAGCCATGGAGGGTCGGTGGTGCCCGTGGGCAGCTGGAGGCATCAGAGGCTAAGTGAGTGGCATCTCGTAGAAGCTTCTCCTCTGCAGCTGCCTAGAAGATAAAACGACACAAGGGAAAGAGTTGGGACTAGTTGAGATAGTAATTCATCATCATCATCATCATCATCATCATCATCATCATCATCATCATCATCATGATGTACCGTCAATTCTGACTTTTAGCAACCCCTTTTTCCCCCAGGGTTTTCCCTGAAGTCATTTACCACTACCTTCTTCATGTGTGTGTGTGTGTGTGTGTTGTGTGTGTGTGTGTGTGCGCACACACACGAACGCTCCCGCACACTGGGAATGTGTGTAGGTTGGCTTGACTTGTAGGAGGCCCAGTGGGGAACTGAACTCCCAACCTCGGGCTCCACTGCCAGATACCCAACTCACTAAACTATCCAACCAGCTTGATAATTTATGAAGGAGAGCAAATGTGTGATTTTTTGGACTATAATCCTCAGAATTGCTACCTACCCTGCGGTCTGGAGAATTCTGAGAATTCTGAGAACACAACACGAACCTGTGCTTTGTATCCCATCATGACTCATGGGAAGGGACTGATGAACACCATTAGATAGCAGGGCAGCGATGGGGAACCTTTGGCCCTTCAGATTTTTTGATGGCTGCTCACTTAATTCCTTACCTTTGGCCCTTCTGAGTTGGGCTGTTGGGAGTCGGAAGACAGAACACCTGCCTTGTTAGTAAAAGGTACTGAATGACTTGTTGGCTTTGAAATAATCTCATATTAACCCCAGTTAGGATTTCCAACGGATAAAGCACAATCCCACGGCAGATTAAGACTAACACGTAGGGCAACCACATGCATGGAGGATCGGTTTTAAGTCCCCGTGGATGCTGAAAAACGTGGATTATAGTGAACACTATAATTGCATGATCTTTGTCACCCTCTAGTAGTTTGTTAATTCTTAGGTAAAGGTAAAGGTTCCCCTTGACATTTAGTCCAGTTGCGTCCGACTGTAGGGTGCTGTGCTCATCCCTGTCTTCAAGCCGTAGAGCCAGCGTTTGTCCATAGACAGTTTCCATGATCATGTGGCCAGTGCGACTAGACACAGAATGCTTTGACCTTCCCACCGAGGTGGTACCTATTTATCTACTCACATTTTTACATGCTTTTGAACTGCTAGGTTGGCGGGAGCTGGGACAAGCGACGGGGGCTCACTCTGTTGCATGGATTCGATCTTACGACGGCTGGTCTTCTGACCTTGCAGCCCAGAGGCTTCTGCGGTTTAACCCCCAGCGCCACCACGTCCCTACTTGTTAATTCTTACATTTGCATTATTAATAAATGCTGGCAGAAAAAGGTCGAGGCACCGGGATCCCCGTTCCTGCCAAGGCTGGCATCCTGCAGGCCAGTAGCTGCCGCACCCGTGAGGCAGTGAGCTGCTGTTGCGGGTCATTCCCGAAAGCGAGCTGCCGGCCCACAGGGAAGTTCTCCTTTCCATGCGCTGAAGTGTGGCTTCCGGGTCTTGCACAACGAGGAGGCTCAAGGACCACAGGGCTGGCGCCCCGCTCCTTAGCATAGTTCAGCTCCCCCAATTATTGTCCGACAGGGTTGTGTTGGGGTACCGCGCCCATCACCATCCCACCATCCAGCACTCAGGGAGAGATGGCCACGTTAGCCAAATCCTGACCATCTGGAATGCCTACAACTTGGTTTGTGGCCAATGCCTGTGGACTTCTTTGCTTGGAGGTGTGGATTTGAAACCTAACCTGTTCACTCTTTCAGCCTGGTTTAATGCAAAAGCTCTATGCAAAAGCTCTCTCTCTCTCCATGTGGAAATCCATAAGGAAAAAATGTTTGTAATCCCACCTGGTGGCATGACACATATTCCATTGCCTGGATTACAGCTGGAATCTTGATGGTGTCTGTGTGTGTTTGGAGAGGGAGAGGGAAAGGGAAGGAGGGAGAGAATCACACACACACACACACACACAGAGAGAGAGACTGCTCCACCTCACCAGTCCCTATCTCCACGATGGGAGAGGGTTTTCAGATGTGTCTCCTTTGAAACCCCCCTGCCACCACTGCCTTAATCGGCTTAGCGCGTCTCTTATCCCACCGCTGCTGGGCCCCAGAAGGAGTTCAATGCAGCTCGTAAAGTTCAGCTCCAAGCACGGACGCAACCCCGGCAGCCAAAGGAAGCTTCCCAGCCAAGCCATCTTATCAGATGTGCCTCTGCCACAGACAAATAACAGCTTCCCAGAAAGCAAGAAAGCAAATACTGGAGTTTGGGGTGGGTGACCCAGGACGGGCTGGGCTCCCCTTTGAAGGTTGAAAGGAGAAATTCTAATATGCAAGCAGAACTCGGTACAATTTGTGAAACATGGAAATGCCTGCTTTTATAAGCTCGTGACATGGTTTCAAAGCAACAAAAACAAGCAAGTGAGCACACTGGAAAACAAAACAACACCAAACAAACAAAGAGCATGAAAACGATGCCTATTTTGAAATGGTCAGGAAACAATGGAATGGGTCTGGGGAAAAAAATTAGCACAACCGCAAGAGACCCATTGGAGGGTGCTGGGAGGGGGGGACGAGACCCCATGCATGCCTATATTTCTCCACAGAAGAAGAAAAGGCTGACGGTCAGAGGTGGACCAGATTTGGAACGAGGAGATTTGGAAGCCTGGCGAGCTGAAGTGCGATGGAGCTGAGACCCCCGCCATCTCCCGTCCTGCATTGACCTCCGAGCTGCACAAGGTGGAGGCAGCGGCCATATTGGCAGGGCAGAAGCAGCTGAGGGTGTGTGGTGGGGGGAGCATTACCCAAGGGGTGTTGTCTAGTCTTTGGGCCCAAGTCTGAGCCTTTGGTGCCAAGTCCCCTATGAAAAACAAGCATTCTCCCCCCAAAAATGGAAGGAGTGGGTAGGTTCCAAATGGTGAGCTGAGTCCCAATCATTGGGGGGGGGGGAACCCAGAGTTGAGTTACTGGTGCAACTTAAGTCCGACTCCATGGAGGGTCCCGTGACTTGAGTCCCCATCCCTGTGCAACCTTTTCTGCTTCTCTTCTGCAGTCTCGTCCGTTCCTGTTTTCCTGCAACCGGATGGGGAAATCCTGCATTTCAGTGCAGGGGAAGGGAAGCCAGAATCTCGGGATGGGGAGTTGCAAAAGGAAAATGACAGGTCCAGGTGTGGATGACATCTTTGATCCACCCTCTCTGCCTTGCAGGTACCCAAGCAGGCATAGTGGGATGTTTAGGTAAAGGTAAAGGTTCCCCTTGACATTTTTAGTCCAGTCGTGTCCGACTCTAGAGGATGGTGCTCATCCCCATATTTCAAGCCGTAGAGCCAGCGCTTGTCCAAAGACAGTTTCCGTTGTCACGTGGCCAGCTGCATGGTGGTCCCAGAGCACCACCAGAAGGAGGGAATGGGAAGCCAATTCTGAGCATGGCCTACTTCGGACATCTTAGGAGGGTTGCCATAAGTTAGAATCTACGAGAACTATTACTATGTTCTCGTTGGTGTGAATGATTTTGTCAGGGCCGTTGTAAGAACCGGTTCACCAGAGCATTGCAGAGTGGAGGTCATTCTGGGGTTGATCATTGACCTGCTCTCCAGGGAGCTTAAAAATGAAGCCCCTACTCTGGTGTAAATGAGAGCCTCGTGGCAGGATGTGGCACCAGAGAAGAGCACCCTGCAGCCATTCTGGACTGCCAGGAAGACGAAAAGGGGGGGGGGTCCTGGATCAAATCAAGCCTGAACTCTCTTTGGAGGTGAAAATGTGGAAATGGTGGCTGTCCTACTTTGGGCACCTTATGAGAAGACTCTCTGTAGGGAGAAAAATAATGCTGAGAAAGGGGGAAGGTAGCAGGAAACGAGGAAGACCAAATACGAGATGGATCGAGTTCCTAAGCAGGGCTGTTGAGGACAGGACCTTTTGGAGGTTGCTGGTTCATAGGGCCTCCAAAAGCCAGAGGCAACTTGGTGGCATGTAACAACCACAACATGACAAGCTAAGATGTGAATACTACGGAGCAAGCCTGTGTTGCTGATCATTTTGCTCTCATTCTACCCATGTGCCAGCTCCACGTTGACCCCGTTGTGTTCTCCTGTAAGAGCCCCGTGGCGCAGGGGTTCAACTGCTGTCCTGCAGCCAAAACTCTGCTCACAACTTGAAATTCGACCCCAGGTAACCGGCTCAAGGTTCACTCAGCCTTCCCTCCTTCCGAGGTTGGTAAAACGAGTACCCAAGGGGCCATGTGTAGCCTGCATGATTAACTTGTAAACTGCCCAGAGTTTACATTATGGGTTGGTATATAAGCAGTTCACTCTCTATCTCTCTCCCCCCACTTTGGTTGTCGCTGACAATTCACTCCCTATCTCTCTCCCCCCCCACCTTTGGTTGTCGCTGACAATCTATCTGATGGGGAAACAAGCTGCACTTCCTTCTGCGGCTTCTCCCACATGATGGAGACCTCTGGTTATCAGGGAGACAATGAAGGACTCTGGGCAGGCCCAGCGGGTTCTACCTCCAGATATTCAGCACTACGAGGAGCCAAGCTGAGGAGGGTTGTGATTTGGGGGAAGGGGCGTGAGGCCCAGCCCACGTTCTGGTCTCTGAAGGGGCTCCACAAACCTTACATTATGGGTTGGTATATAAGCAGTTCACTCTCTATCTCTCTCCCCCCACTTTGGTTGTCGCTGACAATCTATATGATGGGGAAACGAGCTACACTTCCTTCTGCGGCTTCTCCCACGTCATGGAGACCTCTGGTTATCAGGGAAACAATGAAGGACTCGGGGCAGGCCCAGCGGGTTCTACCTTCAGATATTTAGCACTACGAGGAGCCAAGCTGAGGAGGGGTTCACTCTCTATCTCTCTCCCCCCACTTTGGTTGTCGCTGACAATCTATATGATGGGGAAACGAGCTACACTTCCTTCTGCGGCTTCTCCCACGTCATGGAGACCTCTGGTTATCAGGGAAACAATGAAGGACTCGGGGCAGGCCCAGCGGGTTCTACCTTCAGATATTTAGCACTACGAGGAGCCAAGCTGAGGAGGGTTGTGATTTGATTTAAGGGGCGTGAGGCCCAGCCCACGTTCTGGTCTCTGAAGGGGCTCCACAAACCTGAAAGTGCCTTATGTGGTTCTGGAAAAAAAAAAACCAAGCCTGTCCTCCGTGCTTTTCATATCAGATGGGTCCAAACATGCAATTTCCTCAGACACTGGAAGTGACTACTTCTGTTTTAGACAGGGAGGGCTGAATATTTTCCTGCCCCTTCCTTTCCCAGAACATACTAGTTTTGCAGGGTTGTGTTTTCAGTGCTACATAAAACCTGGTAGCTTTGCTTATCACAATTCAAAGGATACCTGCCAGGTGGGTGGCTAAATTTCTCTTGAACTCCTCCAGGGTAATTAGTTCCATCCCTGTACTACTCTAACAGTTAGAGAGCTTTTCCTGATGTTCAGTCCATTGTTGATGATTGAGAACAGAATGCCACTGTGGTCAGGCAGGAGGACCTTTCTTTCAGAAAGCCAAAGACTAATCAAGAGCTCGCATCGTCAAAGCTATGGTTTTTCCAGTAGCTCCTGCCCCTTCCTTTCCCAGAACATACTAGTTTTGCAGGGTTGTGTTTTCAGTGCTACATAAAACCTGGTAGCTTTGCTTATCATCTTTGAGTTATTAAATTATTACTGCTAGATGGGAACCAGAATAGCAGAGTGACAGAATAATGAAGTTGAAAGGGGGCTGTAAGGCTATTGAGTCCAATCCCCTAGTTCAGTGCTGGAACACCATTCAAAGGATACCTGCCAGGTGGTTGTCTAAATTTCTCTTGAACACCTCCAGGGTTGGAGTGCTTACCAAGGTAATTAGTTCCATCCCTGCACTACTCTAACAGTTAGAGAGCTTTTCCTGATGTTCAGTCCATTGTTGATGATTGAGAACAGAATGCCACTGTGGTCAGGCAGGAGGACCTTTCTTTCAGAAAGCCAAAGACTAATCAAGAGCTCGCATCGTCAAAGCTATGGTTTTTCCAGTAGC